ACCTTACTGGAAACAGCAAATGCAGTGATTTTCAGGCACATGCAGGGCACGGTCTGTGCTTAGACACAAGTCCCATCCCTCGTCTCAGTCCAGCCCTATGTCCTCTGGACTCTTTCGCCTAATCCTACTGTCCTTCCCCGAGTTACCACAGCAGCAGGTCTTTCAACACTCCAAAGACATCATTAATATTGTTACTGATTATTTTAATAAAAGCCAAAACCAAACCAAAACACACTCCACTCATGTCTCCGCTTGCATGGTCCACAGCACTGGCAGAGCTGGCCGATGTCTCTACGGGGTCAGACAGCAACGTATCAGGTCTGGGGGTGTGCAGACCTTGGGGGTGCAGGCTCCGGTGCTGCTGCACAAAAGCATCCACAGTCCACATGAACATGTGAACATGATGTAAACAAACATGATCACGGTCCAAAACAAAACAAACACAAACCCCAATTTACTAACACAGGCCGGCTGGATTTGGCCTGCCCCACGACAATCCTGCACTGCTTCACTTCCCAGCACCACATCCAGGCGCTTCCCCACCCCAGGCTTGCCTCTGCACCCCATGCACACTGCTGGATGCACCCACACCCTGCTGGCACCCTTGCTCGGGAGGAAGCTGACTGCTCCCTCTGCTAAGGCTGGGTAGAATGGTTCTCATCCTTCAAGGACCCTTCTGAGTGTTGCTTTCTCTGGAAGATTTCCACTGAGCTCCCCTGAAAGCGAAGAAACCATTCTTTCTAGGTTTTTCCAAAAAGCTGGACACATGTCTCAGCTCTTTATGTCCTCACAATGCCGGGCACAGATCAAAGGTTCAAACTCATCCAGGTGGCCCCAACTCAACCTCGGGTCCCAGCATCAGCACCAGGTCAGTACCGACTCAGAAGGAAACAAGGACATGCAGAAGCAGTACTAAGAGCCTTGCAGCCTTCACCCAGCCCGTCACTGCACTGTCTGCTTCTGCTTCTCTCCTAAATAATGAACTCCTAGAAAAAGGAATAGAATCTTAGTTACAAAAGCCCTAGGGCTGAGCATTTAGCTAAGCAGTTTAATATGCTGGTTACGATGCCCACATCCCACATGGGAACATCTGGGTTCAATTCCAAACTTCCTGGCTCCCAACTCCAGCTTCCTATTAATGCAGACTTTCAGGAGCAGGGATGGCTTGAGGAGTTGGGTTCCTGCCACCCATGTGGGGGGCTTGGGTTGAGCTTCCGGCTCCCAGCTTTGGGCTGGCTAAGCCCCAACCACTGCAGATATGTGGGGAGTGAACCAACAGATGAAAGCTGGTGCACTCTCTCTCACTCACTCTTTCTTCCGCCTCTCCAATTCAAGGAATTTTTAATTATTTAAGACCTTCAAAAAAAGGTACTTTCAATTTATTGACTTTCTTGAAAATCAATGTAAACTTTTACAAAGTAAAAATTAAGTTCTTAGGGCCAGTGTCATGGTGTAGTGAGTAAAACCACATCCTGCAAAGCCAACATCACACATGGGTGCCGGTTCAAGTCCTGGCTGCTCCACTTTCAATCCATCTTCCTGCTAATGGGCCTGGGAAAGCAAAAGACAGCCCAGTTGCCTGGATCCCTGAACCCATGTGAGTGATCTCAAAGAAACCCCTGGCTTTGGCCAGGCCTAGCCCCAGCCACTATGGCCACTTGGGGAGTAAACCAGCAGATCTTCCATTTCCCACAAATAATAACTCTACCTTTCCCACAAAAAAATAAATCTTTTCTAGAAAATTATCAAAACTGATAATATAGAAAACAATTTTAAAAGCCTTTAAGGTATATCAAGAAAAACAAGGATTTTAAAAAATACACACTTATTATTACTAAAGAGAAAAACATCTTTTGGTAAAATAATAAAACCCCATGTAGCAAAGATTACACAGACAGTTCTAGTAATCTGGTCGGTGGGCTAAAAAGCAAGCACTTAAGGTCTCAGCTCCAGCTTCTGCGCATTTCTTCTGCTGAATTTCACACTCATTTCTCCTCGTTGGACAAAACTGTGATGACAGGATGGTCAGCTGGCATTTGCTCAGCTCTGCCCTGCGCGGCCAAAGGAACTGTCAAATGTTCAGTTGGTGCATCAACTAATTTGTCTCTCTGCCATCTAGTGGGTAAGGCTTTCCTAGCCATCTGCAGCTGACACTGAGGAGGCTGCTGACCTGGGCCTATTCCCTTGACCTTCCTGACTTGCTTCCCCTCTGTCCTCACCAGACTGTCTTGGTTTGAGGCTGACACCTAGCCTGTCTTACTGGTTTACTGTGCTCTCCTGCAGCCTAGCTGCCAGCACTTCCCACTGCGCTTCCTGCACAGCAGGGCTGGCCGTCCGTGGTCGATGCCGATGGGTCTCTGCATGTGACATGGAACCCTTCCCCTGCAGTAGGGCTGGCATGACTGCGTGGGCCTGGATTCTCCTTTTCTTCACTCACTCGATCCACGATTTAGTGAGATGGAAATCTGACATTAGGCACATGTGTTGTCCAGAATGAAGAATGGGAGAACTGGAATTTGATTCAGTAAAATGTGTCCTGGGAGGAACAGCAAACACTCCCAGGAGGACATTTAACACAAGGCACTAACGTGACTTGCCACATCTACTTAAGGGTGACAGGGTTATGCATGAAGTAGAACATGTGTTTTTATTATAAACCACACTTTTCATGCCCAGGAGTCCAAGCCAAACAAAACAGCTGTCTCTTCTAAAAAGTTTGTTTATTTTTTTATTTAAATAAGGCAAAATAACTAGACAGGGAGAGAAATAGAGATTTTCTCTCTGTAGGTTTACTTCCAACTGGCCCAGCAGTCAGCCTTAGAACCAGAATCTGTGTCCTGGTCTACCACAGGGAGGCAGGGCCCGAGCACTGGGGCCATCTTTTCCTGTCTTCCCAGGAAGCTGGATCACAAGTGGAGGAGCCAAGACTCAAACCAGCACTCCGACATGGGATGCCAGCATCACTAGCAACCGTTCAACTCGCAATGCCAGCCCCCAAGCCTGATTCCTGACACATCTGTTTGTGGCAAAAGCACAGAATACCCATCAGTAGCTCAGTGTTAGTTAAATTTCTAGGGGGAAAAGGGGGGGCGGTTAAATGGGTATACAAAGCAACTGTAGTGAAAAAACAAAATTCCCAACAGAAGACATTTTCCCACGTTAATGCAAGGCAGTGGACATAAACTCGACCTGCACTCCTACTTCATAAAATCCCTCACCTTGACACACACCTCATCGACTACCAGCACTGCAACTTTTCAGTGCCACGTAGGCTAAGCCTCTGACAAACACACACAGTTCTCAACCACCCATGACAAGCCATCATCTCTCCTACCTCCAGTGACAGGGAAGCTGGTGCACCATGGTGCATTAACTCAGAGTCTCCTGGCATCCTCTCCGCTCAAGGAGAGGCCCAAGGGACCACTGGGTTTCCCGCAAGGCCCAACAATCCTACCACACCTTCTTATCTCTAACATCCCCAGTCCTCTCTCCCTGCGCAGTCCAAAGCGGTCCAGTGTGGATGAGTTAGTGTTGCCGGACTCAGCAAGGGCCACAGCAATCAGGAGCTGTGAGCTTTCTTCTACAGTTCAGGAAGGAGAATCTTGGAAATGGCCAGGACCAAACTGGGGACTTGAAAAGGGAGACCCTACTTCCCTTCCTTTCATTCCAACCTGAGATCGCACCCTGCTCCCACCTCAGTCAGCTACACAACCAGGGGGTGGTGTCATGCAGAAGTCTTTTGTCTAAGGGGTGAAGAAAGCAGAGGAGATCACATCACAAGTAACTAACGGGGGTAATAAAACGTGCTAAACAACGTGGGGCTACGAGCTGCAGGGCTAAGAGGGTGACTCGGCCCTCCTATGGCTTGTTCAGTCACAGAACACCTGACTGCCTGCCAGGCCACGGTCAGACTCCACAGGGTGATCACATAAGATTCTGCATGTCTGCCACTGCAGCTCATGGCTTATTGACCCAACGCAGGTCCAACTACTGCCTGCCTCACGCCTCTGTGTGTACCACTCTCACCCCGACTCCATTCCGCACCTGCTGTGCTCTGGAAGCAGCACCAGCACCCCTCCACAAGGCCCTTCAAGGCGCGCAGGTGGAAATGAACACATTCTCCCCTACGCCCTGCACACCTGGCTGCTTCTACACCAGCCTCCTCCTTCAGCCCCTTACCCTCGCATTACTCTGACGTGGTGCTGTTCAGCAGGTGGGTGCTCAGCAGATGCTTGAACTCCCCTCTGGTATTCGGAAATTCTAAGCACGCTGCTATGCATTAACTCACGCACACATACAATCATTCAGACATATTTGGCTGGGCACAAAGTCCCAGGCACGGGACTGTGTGCAAGGGCCGTGGACTGGTCATGAACTCAAGGAGATATGCTCTGCGGACCCTTTTTCTTGCACCCTCCAAAGGGCTGAACCTGATTTTCAAAAATATTATTTTATTTCTGGAGGAAAATAGAAAGAACTTCATACGCCTTGGTTCTTCAAAACTAGAGCCACCTGTCATATCCAACATGGGGAAGTGAACAAGGCAAACATTACCTGTCCACTTAACGAGTTTCCCGTGTAGCCGGGAACACAGACCGCCATTTGTTCCTTCCTCTCTTCCTTCATTCAACGACCCTTTACTACGCACAGCTCTGAGTCATTCATTCTGCAACCAAAGCTCTCCGGGAGACCAACCAGGGCCTGCAGGAAAAGCGATGGGAAGGCGTGTAACACGCCGTGCTGGCCTGTCTCAGCACCTAGAGCGCCTTTCTATCCGTCCGGGGCCGCGGGAAGAAGCGGCAGGTGCGGCCAGGGCGGCCAGGGCGTGCAGACAGCACCCGCCGCAGTGGACCCAGCAAGGGGACCCCGCGCTCCACCGGCACGCCAAGCGCCCCTCAAACCAAGGCTGTCTCCCCGACGCAGCCGTCGGCTCCGAGAGGCGGCCCGGGGTCCCTGTCCACCCTGTGCCCAGCCCCACGTTCCCATAGCAACCAGCTCACCACTTCGCGAGCTCGGTTAGAGAAGTCCCCTTTCGGCCGGGGGGTCCGGCGGAACAGCTCGTCGCGGCTGCCATCGACGCCGCCGACGGCCACTCCCAGGGCCTTGTTGCGCGTCTTCACTGTCTTGACGCTGGCCCGGAACAGCAAGGTGATGTCCACCGCCATGGCGACCAGCCCCGCCGGCCACGTCAGCAGTCGGCGACCGCGGCGCACACCCGGCCGCTGGAGGACAGGTCCGCGTCCGCACAGCCTCCGCCCGGCGACGACAGCGCGAGAAGAAAGGTTCCGGGCTGAGCCTGCGCGCTGACGCCGCTTCCTCCTTCTAGAACACGTGGGGAAGGTGAGGGGCCGATCCGTGTTGTTCTGACGTTACTGTTACACCTCTAGGAGGAAGTGTCACCAGAGCAGAGGTTGGCAAGTGAACAGAAATGTATCAAGTGGAAAGTGGGTTTTGTTCATCCTTCATGGATAGTTTTTGCACGTACCTTCTCGAGCCCTAGTTTTGATCTCGTCTCCGAGTCATTTTTACAGTATGTTCACGGCTCAGTTTTAATTCCAGAGTTCGTGGATTGGGTCGTCCTCCCCACCCCATCCCCCACCCCCGCCTCAGGAAGAAGCACACATTAGCACTTGCATTGTGCAGGAGTTTTTAGTGTTCAACCAGATGAACTCTTCCTAATTCAAAGAGGCTATTTGCCTTTTCCCTCTCAAATCCCAGTTAGTTGTATCCATGGATATTTCCCAAAGTTCGTGGGAGATGAGTACTGTGAAGAAAACGGGTATGCATTCCAAAGCTTTTGGCACCAGAACAGATCTACCCCTAGAAGGATGGCACTTTCCACAGAGGGTGTTGCCTAAAGACACAGACCCTGTCTTCCAGGAAGTCATAGGCTTCAAAGACATGACTATTCTCAGCTAGTGTTTAGTGTGAGCATTTTTTTTTTTTCATTAAAACATATCATTTGGAACCAACGGCATAGCCTAGCAGCTGGGGTCCTCACCTTGTTCACTGGGATCCCATATGGTGCCAGTTCTAATCCTGGTGGCCCTGCACAGTAGCCTAGTGGCTAAAGTCTTTGCCTTGCATGAGCCAGGATCCCATATGAGCGCCAGCGGCCCCGCTTCCTATCCAGCTCCTTGCTTGTAGCCTGGGAAAGCAGGAAAGGACAACCCAAAGCCTTAGGACCTTGCACCCGTGTGGGAGACTCGGAAAAGGCTCCTGGCTCCTGGTTTCAGATCAGCTCAGCTCTGGCTGTTGCAGTCACTTGGGGAGTGAATCATCGGACAGATCTTCCTCTCTGTCTCTCCTCTCTGAATATCTGACTTTCCAATAAATAAATCTCTAAGTAAAAATAAAATATATTATTTATGTTAACATAGTATTCTCAGAAGAGTAAATGCTTACAATTTGGGTTTTTTTCTAGTAGAGTAAATAGCAGATAAAATCTATATAAACAAACTAATTAGTGCCTTGATTTTTTAAAAAAATGTTTATATTTATTTTTATTAGAAAGGCCTATTTACAGAGAGGAGAAGAAACAGAGAGAAAGATCTTTCATCTTTGGGGAGTTGCTGGTTAACTCCCCAAATGGCTGTGACAGCTGGAGCTGAGCTACACTGAATCTAGGAGCCAGGAGCTTCTTCCTGGTCTTCCATTGGGGTGCAGGGTCCCAAGTCCCTGGGCTATCCTCCACTGCTTTCCCAGGCCATAAGCAGATAGCTAGATGGGAAGTGGGGCAGCCAAGACATGAACCGGTGCCCATATGGGATCTTTGCACCAAAAGGTGAGGATTTAGCCATTAAGCCATTGCCCGTTTAATCATTTTTTAAAAATATTTATTTATTTTTACTTAAGAGAGTTACAGAGAGAACAAGGTCTTCTATCTGCTGGTTCACTCCCCAAATGGCTGCCATGGCCAGTGTTCAACTGGTCCAAAGGCAGGAGCCTGGGCAGTCTTTCTGGTGCAGGGACCCACGTACTTGGGCTATTCCTCTACATTCCCAGGCTGTTAGCAGGAGGGAGGTAGATCAGAAGTTGAGTAGCTGGGGCACAAACCATTGCTCATATGGGATGCCAGCACCACTGGCGGAGGATCAGCTACAACACCTGAATGCCAGGCCTGTCTGCAATAGTTTTTGAGTGTAAAGTTGTTCTGAGGCCAGACGTTTGCAAACCACTGTGTAAAATACAGTTTTTAGGAGCAGGAGTCAAAGTAGTTTATAGGCATATTTATTTGCCAGGTAGGGAGAAGGAAAGTATTCTTTGGAAGTCAGACTGGATCCTTCCCGTATGAGGGGATCCATTTCCACATATCTTTGTTTGCCCTATGGAGAAAGCAGGAAGTGGGAAAAGCTCTGCCAGGAATCCCATCTTGCACAAGTGGCCGTTTTCCAAGGGAGTCACTAATGAGCCCAGGGCGGAGTCAGAGGACCAAGAGTGAAAGCACTCTGTGTGACCAAGTGAGGTGCTGGCACTGAGAGGAGGAGGGGAGCCCGGCTCCAGGGAGGGCGGGGTGGAGAGCAGGTGCTTGGGAGAAGCTTGGAGCTCAGCTTTGAGCCTGAGCTAGACCGAGCCTTCTGGGAGAGATGCCCTGTGTGAATAGAGTGCTGAATTTTGGGGGACAGAAAGCTAAGGATGCAAGTCTGCAGGGTCTGGCTAGATCTGTGAGAGTGAGAAGATGGGGATACGTCAGAACTGCAGGCAGTAAACCTGAAGTAGCCACGAGAGCCACAACAATCTTGAGGCCACCGCACTTCCTGGGAATCATGGAGAATGGGAGTCATGCTTTTTCATTGTTTTTTAAGCTCAAAGAGCAAGATGATCTCAATGGACAATGGGCTGGTAAATATGAACCCCACAAAGTCAGAGAGGGGGCAGGATGTGGGTGTGAGGGAAAGAAATGGCTTGGGTGTGGTCTAAAAACTGTCACTTTGGTACAGTGTGGAATTGTGCTATCACTGTCCATCCAGCAAACGTCCGTTAGGCCACACACTCTGCTCCAGGAAAAAAAAATATATTTTGGCGTCTCCAAATGTACCTCTGGACAACAGCATCCTCTGTTACCAAAAGGTTAGGTGTGCTGCCTGACGCACACAAACCAACCTATGCCACTGCTCTCTGGGGGGGAATGAAAGGCTTCATATAAATAGGCAGAGCATAAACCAAGTCTGTCTCCCTGACTCGGGGTCAGGCACAGTTTTGGGGGTTAGGAAAGAAGTGGAGATGTGTGCGCACACCAGCAGGGTGGTTTCTGGCTGGCCCATGAATGGATTGGTGGGAGGAGCATCCAGGCAGTGGAGGCCTGTCACCTTTGGATCTCTGGCTCCCTGGAGTTGTGCAGCCCTTGTGGTTCTGTGATCCTCCGATGCGTGCTCTTGTGGGATGGCATGGACTCCCTTTTGGGTAACATTTGTGAATCTCTGCCTTCCTACGTGGCCTTGCAGCTCACCTGCTCAGTCTGCCAACAATAGCAGCTGCTTTTAGAGTGACTTGCTGTGGAGCCCTGTAAAACACAGTTTAAGGACCTGACCCTTGTGGCTGGAACCGGAAAGAATCAAGCTAGGAGGTGCCCAGGGGATAGGAACACAACCCCAGCATAGGAATCTGTGTTTTGAGGGTGTCAAGAGGAGGTCTGATGAGAGAGTGACAACTGCCACCAGCAGAATAGCTGTAGGCAGTTTAAGGTCACTGGGGACCCTTGGGGGAAGCCGTGAGTCATAGCCACACTCATTGAGAGCTCACTACTCACCCATGTGCCTGGCCCATGATGGCCACAGGAAGCAGAGGGGGACTCTGATCCCCTGGGGTAGGGAATGCCAAAGTGTTTGCCAGGCACCCCCAATTGGGGGACAAGTCAGCTCCAAGGAAGTTGCACATGACAAAAGAAGGACGGGGGCTCCAAACAGGCCCCAGAGTCCCAAGGAGATTGTGTCTCAGATTGTGCGAGCAGTTGTAAAAGGTTACAAAGAGCGCTCGGCAGAGCATCATTGGTGTTTGATCTCTGCCAGACACAGCTCAGACAACCACCATGTGGAGATGCACTTGTGTCAAGATGTGTCCTTTTGCTGAACCTCACGCAAGAAGACAAGGGAATGCCCGTGGTGAGACAAGACTTAACTGGCTCTCCCTCTGTAGGGTTGCAAGTAGCCCCCAGCAAGACCCTCCTCTGATCCCCCAGCCGACTCCCCAAGCCGAGTGAGGGGAGTGGTCCCCAAGGGTGGTGTGCACACGGTTTGGCTCAGAAGGCAGTCATCTCCTGGTCCTAAGACTTCCCAGTCTTGCCCCTCTACTCCAAGGATGGAACACGGACACACACGGTGTCCAAAAATTCGTGGAATACAGTTAGGGAAATTTGTACCAAAGTACATTAAAAAAAAATATTTTCATTTTATTTGAAAGGCAGAGAGACACAGAGATCTTCCACCTGTTGGTTCATTCTCTAATTGCCTACAACAGCCAGGGTTAGGCCAGGGCAAAACTGAGAGCCTGAATCTCAATCCAGTTCTCTTCCACATGGGTGGCATGGATGCCAGTGCTTGAACCATTGCCTGCTAACTCTTTAGATGTGAATGTGTGGGAAGCTATGTTGGAAGCAGAGATGCTAGGACTCAAACCAGGCACTCAAATATGGGAGCAGGCATCTGCTGAGTAAAAACTGACCTTTCATTTGTTTCCCATGAGCATTTTGAAGTGCCTGTATAACACCAGAGATGAGAGTCACAATTTATGTGGAAACCACAAACCTAGACAACAGGCTACAAGAAGGCCGAGGGTGCTGAGGTCCAGTGGATGGTGCTGTCTACTCCATACGAACTACACAGATGTGGATACTGGCAAACTCAGGCTTCAGACAAATGGGGATGGCTGGCATTGTGACACAGCTGGCAGTGACGCTGGCATCGCCTATCAGATCACCGGGTCAGGTCCCATCCAGGTTCTGGCTAGTGCGCCTTGGAAAGCCACAGAAGAAGGCCCACATATTTGGACCCTGTCATCCATGAGGGAAGCCGTGATGGAGTTCCAGGCTCCTGGCCCAGCCCTGCGCATTTAGAAAATAAACCATCTGTGTTTTTCCCTCTCTGTGTGTCATTCTGCTTTTCCAATAAATAAATTGATAAGAAAATAAGAAGAAGGAGAAGATCAAAAAGAGGAGGAAGAGAAGAGGAAGAAGATGAAGATGGCAACAGCTGAGCTCTTCTAGAGAGATCCGGGCAGCAGTTGGTACAAGATGAGCAACAGACAGCAAACA